AACCTTTCTCACGGCGTGATGTTGAATGCGGACCTTGCTGCCAGCGAAGAAACCAAGAGCGATGACGATGATGATGATCGTGCCACTGCTGCTGCTGCTGCTGCCGCTGCTGCCGCTGCTGCCGCTGCTGCCGCTGCCGCTGCCGCTGCCGCTGCCGCTGCTGCTGCTGCTGCTGCTGCTGCTGCTGCTGCTGCTGCTGCTGCTGCTGCTGCTGCTAGAAGGGTGGAGTGGGTGGCGTTTGCGGGGGCGGTCGTGGTGATCCTGCTGATGACGACGATGATGATGACAGTCATGGCGACGACGACGACGATGATGCTGACCATGATCATGATCATGGTCAGTATGACGATGATGACGATGATGATGGTGGTGGTGGTGAAGATGGTGGAGATGATGATGATGATGATGATGATGATGATGACGATTGACCGGTTTCTCTCATGACACCAAGTTGTATCACTTGCGACAAGCACACTTGAGCATGTCCCGCACCTGGCTGCGAGGAGTTGCAAAGATTGGCTGGCCTGAACAACCGACATGCAAGAGTTTGCTGAGGGCAGCTGCTGATAATTCAAGGTTGGTTTGATTCTGGGACTCCTGTGCCTGCTCTGCTGCCCAGAGATGCCCAGAGTATACATTCCTGCAGTCTGATACCTTCAGATCCGAAGCTCGAGATCTCTCGAAATTCACAATATGCGAACAGGGAAAACCAACACCCATAAGCTGATCTATGATCTATCCTAATCGTGAGTTCATGAGCCCTCAGACGCAGACTCGGATAGCCCCAGCTCTTGCCTGCAGGACGTTGTGCAAGCAGTGACCGCAGCGGCTGCGCTTCCGTGCCCTTGGGCCGTGAGCGGGCCCTGGCGCGCGAGACCGGAGATGGACAGTCGAAGGGCAAAACCACAAACTCTGCTCTTCAATTCACGGGGGTGCAGGTTAATCAACCTTTAAGAGCCTCGCCCGAGGAATGTCCTCTTTATAAGGGTGCCGTACTATTGTGGGGATCTGAAAAGGGATCCCGATTTGGAGAATACCCCCCCCGCATTTCTTGAGGAGAGCCTGCGAGGCGAGCTTGGAGAGCCTTCGCCCTCCTGGGAAGACTTACGGCTACAAATCTCCCCTTGCACTCTTTGCCGGGTGCCGGGCGAGACCCCTCTCTGCGCAGAGGTTCCGCAAACGCGTGTTCTCTGCCCGGAGCCTGTATAAGGGAGAGAGACATCTGCGCGAATACACTGACTGTGGATGCATTTGGGTTCTCCGCATGCTGCGTCAGACTAGGCAACCATCGATCGAATGTGCCTATCAAGTGTGGCGGCATTCTCCTTGGCAAGCTGACGGACCTTGCAAACAAAGCACAGGCTGCTGCTTCAGGTGGGTTGGGCTTAAGTCAGTCGTCAAAGCTTAGCTACTTAGGAATGCCATGGGCTGCTTTGTTCCGAGAATCGGGATCATAAGAATCCTTCCTGGGCCTGCTCAGCGTTTAGAAACACACCGGGCGACCATGATCAAACTTGGTAACTACCTTTGCGTGAGGTAAGATTGGAAACACCTGCTGCATTCTGTGGCAAACAGCTTAACACAGGAGATGGAAACGCTTCAGCATCGTCTCCACAAGTGTTGGCTTTCATGTTTTGCGAGAGCTATCCCGGGCGGCCGCCTGCGATGGATTTGGCGGCAGTGCCTGGCAGTGGAACTGCAAAGACACACACACACACACACTCGAAGCATCAAAGAAGCTGCGAAAACGCGATGACCTGGAAATCTCCCCACATCTTCTACCCACTTGATCTGTGGTCGAGTCTGCAAATGAACAGCTCAGATGACGTAGTCGTAGTGGATCGAAAGCAGACACGTCCACCTCGACTCCAAAAGACGTATCGGCGCTGGAAGACCTGACAACAGCGTGGCCGCGTGACCGGAACTTTCTTGCAACAGACTGCGACAATGCAGCGGTGTCGCCAGTAATTATGTTGTCATGCTATGCCACTGTGAATGGACAAGCTTGAACAAGGCGGATAGCATCATGGCGTGGCAGTGGTGGTTGCGGCGACGGTGACGGCGGCGGCATTGCATGTTTTTCAACCCGGTGGAATGGCAGTGGACTTTTAAGTTGCAAGGCGATCGGTGCATTGCGAGCCGGTGAGCCTGATGCCAAACTGCGGCCACCTTTTCGTTCGCATCAGGACTTCCCCGGGCATAGTCGATACATAATCGGGAAGCAAAACCTGGCTAAACCTGCTTGTAGCACGCAAGAACCCCGAACAGGATCTCGAAGCGCCTGCGTCCCGGCAGTGCCGACATGCTTGAGGTGTTGGAGGCACGCGCGGTTGCAGCTCCCTGTCGTACAAGGCGCTCAGAGGGTCACTGGCTCCCTTTCTGCTCTTGCCAGCCTTGGGGGTGGTAGGACCGGACTGCCTGCAACCAGTGAGAGAGGGAAATGCTGGAGGAGAAGGCGAAGGCTAAGGGCTGGGCAAGGGGTCTTGCATCGCGTCCGAGGTCTCGAGCTTCAACTCTCGTTGGAGGTCGTCTACCTGGCAACTTGCACAGCAGCGTCACGTCGCCCATCCTGCATGGCTTCCGAGTGTGCAGAGCACGAAGGCCCTTTGCTCCGACCACGCTGTTGCGCCAGGAGTGCTGTGCAGAGGCGGCATTTCGCCATCAGCGTGGCGAAGCTATGTACAGAAGGTGAGGTCTGCACTTGCTCACCCCCAGCAGTCCATGTCACAGGCGTCTTTCGGCATGTGACCAGCAGTCAGCTCACTGCGAGCACTTCAGACCTGGCACTGACAGGGCTGGCTGTGACAGCCGGGCTGTAGCATGCACCTCGTCTTTCCATGTTTCGAAGAAGCTTTTGGCCAAGGCTTCAGTCTCCTTGGAACTAATCGATTCGCGTCACGGAAGCTCTCAACAATAGTGTCCTTCTCCGGGATGATCCGGATGTTCTTCGCGCCCGTGGCCATTCCCGTGAGATTTAAGGCGTCCTGCCGGGCGAAGTCTCTTGCACACACAGCCCAGCACAGAAGCACCGAGAAGCAAGGCTTGGAAACTGCCTGAACCTGCTTCTGAACATCCTGGCCGCAGACCTGCAGCCCACGAACGGTCACACAGCTATATGACAGACAAGTCACGGGCGCCTGGATGCCCGTCATCTCCTGGCCCTTGCATTTTGAGGCCAACTTCGGCTCTTTGGCCCAAGCAAAAAACGTCTTCAGCTGCTCTTCCTGAAAGCCATTGCATCTGATCTCATTGCGTCAGCGTCTGGATTCTGGGGTCCTGCAGCACCATTGACCTTGCCCGGCAGATCGCCCACTTCGCTGTCGCCTTCGAAAGGAAAGCCTGCCAAGTACAATGCAGCCGACACAACTGTGACGAGCTCGCCTGCCTCGACGAGGGTCTCTGAATCCGGCAGAAAAACAACGAAACAGGTCTCCTTCCGAGGGCTACTCTCGTCTGGCTTCAACCGCTATGAGATATCCCGAGAGTCATTGCCACTCCTTTGTCGGCCATGGCCGGCTGCCCAAAGTAATGGGCACCACACCTCTGAGGCCGTGCTGTTGCTTGAGGCAGACTATCCGAGTGGCTGAGTAGCTTCGATTGGTGATTTGAACAAGCCCAACCCAGTGGCCATCCGTGAACCCTAGCTATAACTCCAAACCGTAAACTTAAAAACCAAAAGCCCTAGACCTAAAGACATGGTGCTCGTTGCCGACATACTCCAAATCCCTAAACTCCAAAATCGTAACCCGACGCCCTAAACACCGAAACCTGCAACCCTGAAGCCCCAAACTTGCTGTGGCGCTTGCGTCAAACGGGTGCTCGAATCACGTGTGCTTGATGCTCCAATCGGGGCCAGTGCTGGTTTTGGTGGCTTTACACTCAAAGAACAGATTCCCTGTGATTCATAGCTCAGAAGATTCGGGGAAGGCCCCGTCCTGGTAAGAGGTTGTCGTTTCATGGAGGCTGGTTAAGAACCCTCAAGCCGTCTGAACTTGAAAGCTGACTCCGCAAACCAGAGAGACCACGGAGATGCTGCAAGGGCACGCTCGTTCTCGAGCTCCTGTTCAGCAGGCTGCACGGGTGAGGGAGAGGGGCGTTGTGAAATGGGTACGTTGGGATGTCGGCTGCAGCCTCTCAAACATAGATGCTGAACAAAGAACAACCCGGCGCCACTGAGATTGGCAAGCTCTTGATAGTCTTGAAGATGACCAACAGCAATACTTCCAGAAGCTTCGTCAGCCATCCCACTGAATCAACAGAGGAAAGAGACTCCAGAGCCCCTCCTCGGGGGTCACCACTGCAGCACAGGCCTCGAGCCGGAGGAGGCTGCTCGCCTCCTGGGCTCACCAAGTATGCTGAATGGAGGCAAGTCAGAAGTGAGAAGACGATGCGCTGGGATGAGTCCAGGTGTCGTCCTGATTCAAGAGCCCCCAGTTAGGCTTGTCTTCGTTCTTGTTGAAGTCCTGCAGCTTCTGTTTCAGTGGCCCTGCTTCGCCCAGGTGCTATGCTGAGAGCGCGGCATACACCATCCACCACTTGTTGTTCCAGGGTTTCAGTCCAGCCCGCGCCATTTGGCCGCGCAGAGAAAAATAGTTAAAGTCAAAGCAAGCGAATTGCATGTTTTGGCTGCTTTCGATGATTGGCTCTGTCCCACAGTACAGCGAGAGTTTGCAGTCCTTAGCTGTGACGATGCAGATGACATGGCACGTTGACAGGAACCTTCTGGCTACTGTACACAGGCCCATCGACTCAGTCACGCCGCTTGACAATCTCTGCAGCGATACTGTTGACCTTTCAAAAATGCAAGCAGTTGCAGGACGCTAGAAGTAAACTCTTTAAACCTCAGGCGTGGTGAAACGATGTCGCGGCAAAGAACAGTGACAGGTGACTCAGGCTCCAGCAGGCAATCACAAAGCCTAAGAAACAAAAGAAGGTGACAGTGCAACTTTCAAGCTGAGGTCTGCGGTGGAAACATCTAGTGCAGAGAAGCCACTGCAGCTGGTGCAGTTGCGGATGAAGACACTCGTCTCCACCGGGCCGATGAAGACTCGGCCTAGAAGCAGAGGTCGTGGTGTTGAGAAAGCGTCACTGCCCTTCTCGCCATGACGCTGGACCCGAGAGTATGCATGACAGCCCTTCTCGCCTTTGTCACAGTTGATGTGGAGAGTTTGCTTGAATGGCTTGCGATTCAAACCTCCTCTGCAGCTAAACCGTTCCTGGGTGCCCCGATATAGGTCGCAGCAGCGAAAGCTGAGGTTGGGGCAGTTGTGGCAATCGTCAACAAAGCTCGTGGCAATTGTGTCCTGGTGCTGCTGACATTGACGAAGCAGGCTCGCCAGCAACATGAGGCCAAAGCTACTCTCCAATTGTTCCATGCTAAAGTAGCGAAGGAGCAAGAAGAAAGATGTCACAGTTCTTGCCTTAGCTGCAGACACATTCAAAAACCCATCTAACCATGCCCCCGACCAGGGCCATATGAAGTCCAATCCAGAGTGTACAGGCCACGTCGTCTCTCATCTCAGTCCTGCCTGCTTCGATGCTGCCTTGGCACATTCCTCAAGGTTGAATTGCTCCCCATCGATAGTGCCCTCCTGCAGGTGCAGATGCTGGCTGCTTCCTAAAGACCATCTTTCACACAGCATGATCATGCGGCATAACCATAATCACATAACTGAGAAGAGACAAGGGTAAACGCTGTCGGCCCCTTTTTGGGCAGAAGGGTGTCCGGCCTTCCTGATGAGGACGGCATCCGTTTGCTTGGAGAAAACATAGTCCTCAGACGAGACGAGTCAGCATGAATTGCACCTTCGAACTCACGCAGCAGGAATGACTGCAACTGCGACTGGCAAGAGGATGGAGACCAGCAACGACGACATGCTACTGCCGGTAATTACTCGTTTAGGATATTGCCTTGTGTGTTCCTATGGACGCCGTTGGAACGACGACGCGCCCACGACGACTACGCAAGGGTGAGACCACATCTACTTACTACTAGCACCATTTGGTACTGAGACGAGCAGAGTTGAGTCGCACTTATTCTCCACGATGGGATGCTGAGAGCAGATCTGCTGGATTGAGGTCTTTCTTCTTCACCTGCCTCGGCTTCGCTTTGGGCTTCGAGGTGCTGCCTCGCCAGACAGACACAGTCATTAGCACACACACTCACACCTGCCATCAGTAGTCACGTTCTGGCAGATGCCTTTTGAAGCTTTCGAGTCGCAACCGCCCATCTTGGGCACTTGCCGAAGGTTGTAGTCTGTTGCTTGGTATGGTAGAACGCTCGCATGTTGCTTGAAATCGGCGACACAAGTGCCCAGCTTAAATGAACAGTCCATGCACAAGCTCTTCACTTACTCTTTATCTGCACTGCAAGCCAAAAGGCTGGGGACAGTCGGCGCAGGATCCAAGCGAGCGAGCATGGTTCCAACAAGGCAGACGCTCTCAGCATGACTGGCAACTCGGGGCAACCTTTTCCAGTGAAGTTGTGCTTCCCCGGCATTGGCGAAACCAGCCGAACATGACGACGAAATCGGACTTCTTCAGCAGTGTTCGGTGACCCGACTGTGATGTCGCATATTGAACTACGACAAGGCGTTGAATTGAGTCGTCGCAGACGTATCAGACGTGCAGTGCTGAACTTGCAGCACATCTGCCAGCTGAATATTTCAGGTGCGCAGCGCTTTCGCCCGTCGGCGTCCAAACTCGTCCAAAGCGAGTCCATGTTGGCATGTACGGCCGTGTCCCGGAACGCTGTGGCAGCAGTCAGCAGGAGATCCAGCCATTTCCTGCCGCTACGGGTCTCGCGGAAGTTGCTTGAGTCTGTGGCTCGTCTGCCCAGCAGCGATGCAGAATTGATTTGGAGCAGTCGCAGCTCCGGCAGCTCGCAACAAGCCAAATGTAGTCGAACCTCATGCGCAAGAACGACAGGCATTGGAATTCAACCGTCTGCAACACCAGCATCACCCCACGAGATACCTCTTCAGGTTGCTTCGCCCCGAAGGGACGAACTCCACCACAGCCGTGGGTGCACCAGTCGGCTTCGGCGTCCTTTTGCTCAGCTTCTTTGGCAAAGGCCGTGGAGTGTAAGAGCCATCAGTGGCTGGATGTAGCCAGATGCGAGTGTCTAGCCACTGCTTTGCGTCTTTGGGCTGTTTGCGACGGGCGCACGCGATGGTCCACTTGTTTATCAGCAATTCATTCTGCTGGAAGCCCCGCTTCTCCAAGGCTCGAAGCAGCTCTGGTCTCGATAAGAGAGCCCGCTCCCAGCTTGCAACGAAAGTTGCACGCCATGCACACTCAAAATATACATCAACGAGGGCAATCAGATCGCCTAAGCGGATGCGATTGGTGTTGGTGTAGTTAAACACCCAGCTGGACGGCTCCAAATGCTTCCAGAACACTACACCATTTTCCGCGATGTTCTTGGTGTTGTGATCCTCTGGGTAGCGGGGTTTCTGGTGATGGCCGTCAAAGCCGTAATAGTTATGATGCTTCAGGGCGAGCAGCTGCCCCGGCTCCGTCCACTCAAAGATGCCCTCGATGACCTGCCGGTTGTCCGGCAAGTGCTCGGTCACCAGCCAGAGCGTAGCAACATCGAAGCTGCCAGGCTTGATCAGTCCGGTGGGCCGCAGCGTTGCAAACGTACCAGGCAACAACACAATCTGGCCTCGGCGGCAGGGACTCACGGTGGCTTATCTACGTAAGCATCGACTCAACATGATAAGGCTTCAGATCCCAAGCTCCTGAAAAGGCTTGCATCATCTCAATGCCGGTGAAGGGGAACTCCCGATATTTCTTGAACATGAGATGACTGCACCTCTGGAACATTTCACACTTCTCGCCTTTCCCTTCGCAAGCCTCAGAATCTTTGAGCATTTGACACTCGATGGGGTTGGGAGCTCGACCAACTCGTTTGTCTCGTGTCAGAGCATGGTGATTGATGCACAGAGCTGGATCCATCCCTTTGTAAGACTTGACGCCAACATGTACGGCGACTACGCCCATCGGCCCTTGCCCCATCCCAATGTCCAGAAGATGGAGACCTTTGAAGGGTCGGTAGCTGTAAGCTTGCTGGTCATACCCCCATTCCCGCGTTGCTGTCCAGATCTTGGACTTCAGTTCTGCCGCCGCTTGGACGGGAAGACTTGGTGGAATCACAGGGCCGGCGCAAGCAAGGGACGTGGTCTCCAGCTTGGAGGGTACGGGATCTTGCTCCTCCTTCTGATACTCCTCAATTTCCTCAATGTCGGGCTTCTCTTCCGGTTGGTCCTCTAAGTCCTGCACCGTCTGCGATGGCTCGTCCTGCTTCGCATCAAAGTCTGAAACCGGCAGTGCCGGGACCAGCTCCGACTCTTGCTTAGCCTCCAGATCGGCCTCAAGCTGGTCTTCGAGATCCAAAGTCCTTTTTGCATCTCCCGTCTCTTCCGACAAGGCTGAACCCCCAGCATCCAGCAAGGACACGCTGTAGAGACCGTACAGTCCCAGCACAAGGATAAGAAAGAGCGCCCAACGTTGTGTGGCCATGTCGGAGGCCTGAGCTTCCCCTCATTGACTCATGTCCTAGAGATGAAGATCGTGACGGGCTGCGGCTGGGCTCTGTCAGGCGTCACAACATGATGCCTGTGCGTCGAACAGCAACGAATCCCCTTGTTTCGAGCTTGAACCCAAAAGGCATCGATCATGACCTCCGCTCTCGTGCCCTCCTGCCTATCTGCCTTGCGAGCACATACATGCACTTCCCGGGGCGACACTACACAGATTGCATCCGTGAATTCATACATCGATAGGTAGCTGCAGGCACACGTGCCTACATGAGTGCGAGCACACACACACACATGCAGACTTTTATCATGCACTGACAAGGAGCGAGCATGCACCCACACAGCTAAACCAAAGCAGCAGCTGCCCACAGCCACATCCCGACCACTACTCTCCATGCAGTTAAACATGCACTCCGCACCCGCCCCCTTGCGGAGACTTCCTCGTGAAGCTTCCAGTTCAACACCTGTCAGCAATCACGGCCAGGTTGGGTCTTAGTCAGCCGTTGACTGGTCTATAGGGCGTAGCAAGCTTTGGTGCATGATGCTAGTTGTTTGGCAGAGTCTGGGCTTTGGAGCCATAGTTTAGTGGCGACACGAGCACACACACACACACACAACAAACAAAAAACAAGGCATGTCGAAAACTGACTCGGCACAGGAGTCCTAGCAATAATGTAACTTTCGACACAGGGCCTGAAGATCTGAAAGAACAGATCGCAAAGTGAAGGCCTCCTCGAGGGATCGCCTCTTATCCAGAAGCTTCTGAACCTCCTTGAGACAGGGAGCAGATCGGAGCATGGCCAAGATCAGGACAGTGTCAGACAGAGCGCGAAAATTGTCCAGATCTTCATGTCCACTTCGGCCTTCATGAAGCTCTGGCAGCTCCCGCAGGCCAACCATGCGCCGTGAAGCTTAGAACGGCTCAAGCTGTTTCTGAACGGCACGGACTGAGGTTCCAGGTCAGGATAAACGACAGCCAGTGGCGGAGCGAGCCAGGACACGGGTTCGTCGAGGTAGTTGGAGTGTGATGGAACATCTGCTACTGCTGTGACAAGAGCATTGGCCTGCTGTCGCAGTGGAGAGGTTGTTGATAGCTGCCGGTGCTCCTTAGGCAGAACGATGCCCAAACGATCAGGTCATCTCTTTGCTAGCTCTTTTCCCCATCTCGAAGGTTGATATTGAAGTTAGGGATGAATGCGGCCACTGAAACTTCGCTTCTTGTGCATGCCACCGGTCTCAAAACCCGACACGCTGTACACAACTAGCTGGTGCCATCTAGTTGTAGATTGTAGATTTTTCGCTGATGCACGTCTTGCTGCCGTACTGATTCACGCTGCATACAGGTTTCACCGATATGCCTACATCGGAAACGAAAGCACAGTCAGCATCAATCCCATCTCCTGATCCCCGGACCCTTCAAGACATCACCAACCGAAGTTCAGAGCACCACACATTTTTCCGGGGGTTGGTTTTCAAAGTCGAACATCTTTCAGCCCGGGCGGAGTGCACCTGATGGCATTTTCTGCACTGAGCTCCAGACGAGCTCCTTCTGGACATGGCCTTGTGGAGCAGGTGTCACAGTGTATGTGAATGCTCACTTTGGGGTCTCTTTTCTTTTGGGCTCCCAAACTATCAGGGCGCTGTATTTAGAGTAGAAGTATATTGGGTTCCCCCAGAGGACCATGATTTTGACAGGTGCCCACATGTGTAGCCTCTAGAACACCATTCCACAAATCGGCACACGGAGTCACGTAGCACGGACATGTAAGAGCACACACTCCATAGTGCCGAACGGGTTTCAGACTCTTCAGACTCTGCGAGGCTAACAGGCTTGAACTGCACAAAGTTCTGCAAGCTTTGGGGCCTAGAGTTCTAGAGGGCCTGGGGGGTACGGGTGGTGCGGGCTGTTAGTTGAAGGTTTGTAAGACAACTTCAGGTGCTGCTCAACTGAGATGAAGGCGCTTCTGCTGATTCAGCTGCCGAATTTCCAGCAGAGTCTGTTGAAGGGCCTGCAACAGGATTCAGAATTTGTTTGAGGAATTCGGCAAGAGCTGCTTGGCAATCGGAGACTCAGACTCATGCAGGTATCTGATTATCTGCTGCCTTTTGACTGTTCCGCAAGCTGAGGCGCAACGTCGGCGCCCGAAGCCTCAGCAGTCATCGATTCCACGACATGCTCCCTGGAACAACTCGGGAGCGCTGGGAAGTCGACATCTCACTGCCTGATCTTTGCAGGCTTGCTCCATCCTCGCAGCAAACACCCGAAGCATCGGCATGTCTCCGAAACCACGCCGCAAACAAGCAAGCTCCTGCCGCGGAGACAATCTGGTTTGACCACAGCCTGCGAGTCGCGCAAACACCCGACGTGCGAATGCTTGCCTGCGTTTCAAGCCTCGACTTAGCTCTCGCCAAAGAACTTTTAGCTTACTTTAGGTAGGGTCAACTTAGCATGACCCAGATGAATGAACCACTTTGGCCTCCGCGTGCAGTGTTTGGCCTTGCAGCTGCGGCACAGCATGCAAATTACACACTTTGACAGATCGAGCGATCAAACAATCGCTGAACAATTGCACTGCTTCCGAGTCAGTGAAGCGCTCCAGTTCATGATTTTGAAAAGCTCCTGCTTCTGCTTGGACCAGACAACTGTAAATTGGTCGAGAGAAAGAGCCAAGAAGACAGCCAGGCAAAGGCGTGCAAGAACAGAGCTTGTTAGGCAAAAGCATCGACGCGTGACTCCTTGATTGTGCAGAGTGGGATTTGCCCAGAAAAACCTGAACTCCAAGACCCTAAAACCATTGTGCCAACGCTCCCTGAAACCTCTTATCTCAGAGCCGTGTGCTCTAGCCGGAGTAGCGACGGGGACAAGAAATGGCCGCATCGAAAGCACTCAGATGTAAGGCTCGGGCACAGGCGCAGGCGGCTGCAGCGCTTTCGCCTCGATTGCCTGCACTGCCATCATCTGCCGTCTGCCATTTGTCAGTTTTCGAGGAGAGGCGTTCCTCGTCTGGCAGTGACGGCAGAGGCTGCAACCTGAGCTCATCGACTCCCGGACTCTCGAACTCTCAGACAGAGGGACGAGGCCAGAACCGGCTGGTTCTCGGTGCCCGCTCCTGAGCCACCTCGAGCCTCCGCAGCACCCCAAGATACAGCGGCCGCCCAGCTACGCAAAGCTGCTTCCGTGGTGTCGTCAGCCGGAGGAGCCACATGCACAAAGAAGACTCTGTGAAAACTTTAACCACGCATGGTGACACGACCGAATCTCCTCGCAGGTGAAACTTGAGGAGCACCAACTAGACTGCTTGGCAGTTCGTTGGGCTGTGCTTGAGCTGTCAATACGGGTTTAATCGCAGAACCCAGCCTTCCGGCGGAGCCGCGGGGTCCTTGGCACCGAGATTCTGGCCCAGGTTCAGGAGGGGCTTCCTCTCCTTCTCCTTGAGCAGCTCCGGCCGCCGTATTCCCAGCTCAGTGGCCGCCGGCGTGCAGCGCAGCAGCAAGTCTGCGCCCCGGGGCCCGAAGGGCTGAAGGGTCTCGAGCACGTCAGCGCTTCGAATCGGGTTCTCAGAGAGGACCAAGCATCGAAGCTCCGAGAGCTTCCGGAGGAAAAAGCTCGGACCCGGCCCCCCGGAGCCTCCATGGCTTCCATCCTTCTCCTCGCTGGGCCTCTCTTCCAGCTCGTCGACTAAAGGAATGGAGGCCCGGCGCTGGCGACCGTGGAACTCGGTGTTTTGGGCCTGGGCCTTTTCTTTGGCATCCGCCAGAGATTTCGCCTGCGCCTGCTGCTTTGCGATCCGGTCCTTCGCTGCGGCCAGCTCCGCGTCCTCTCGAAGCTGCACGGGCTTGAAGGGCTGGCACAAGGCTTGCAGGCCGAGATCCGTGATGCGGTTGCGGCCTAAGCCCAGATACTCTAAGCCTCGGTAGGCATCCAGGGCATCTGCCAACAGCTCGGCCCCGCGATCGCAAATGCGATTCTCCCACCTGCAGTCCAAGCGCAAGCAGGCACAGACCGAGAATGTGGCACTGGAAAATAACCGGGCTGTTTAAGCACAGGGATTACTTTTGATTCTTAAGCCGTCTGCTTTCCGTTGCTCCAAGGCACAAGTTTAACGCCCTGAGCTGCCAGGGGCACTTCGAGAGGGTGGCACACACAGGCCCCAGTTCGAATCGCGTGATGGAGCATGCCCGAAAGCTCACCTTGGCAAGGCTCAGCTCTCACAACGGGTTTCAAAAGCACGGCACCTTTGGCAGCTTGCCTTTTCTGGAACTGCTGCAGTAGGCCCTTCGATCGTGACCGGCTCTTGATGCTTCGAGCAGAGCAGGTCCGGCCGTCAAAGTCGAAAAAAAATCCGAAGATACGAGTAACCCGCAATCGAAGGCACGGATTCCAGCACCGTGCTGGGCTGCAGGAAGGCTGCGAGGCTCAGGCCCAAAGCATCCTCTTCAGCTTCGGCGTCCTCGTCCTCGGTGTCGGGGAGGCTCTCCAACGCCTCCTCGCGGCTTGCGGGGTGCTCGGTGCACGCTACACTAAAGGCTAAAGGTTCTTACGAGCGAAGCAATGCTTCTTTAGGTGTTTTCTCCGCGAACAAAACCTCACTCTAAAGGGTCGGTCCTTCAGGACCTGAAGCGTGACGAGGCCACCGCCATCTGCACCGTAGTCCGGGCCGTCAAGGACCTCGAAGACCTCAAAGACCTGGGAGCCGCTGACCCCGAGCCTCTCGAAGAGGAGCGAGTGGAAGTCCGGGGCTTCCAGCGGGCCATCCTTCACCGGCAAGGCCTCCCAAGCCTTCTCCAAGCTGCGGAAACGACTCAGAAGCCACTCCTTGAAGTTCGTCAAAAGCCTCTCGGACTGCAAGGTGTAGCGCTTCCGCTCTCGTGCCTCCAGAAGGCTCGAGGCCCGATCGAAGGCGGAGGTCTCTTCGCCCTCCTCCCCCTCCAAGGGCAAATCCTCCTCTGCCAAGGTCGGCAGGGGCAGATCCAAGTTGTTCCACTCGATCTGCAGGGACTCCACTGAGCAATTGCCTTCTGCGAGGCCCTGAGCCAGCAATCTGAGCATCTCGCAATCCAAGTTGCAATCCGAGAAGGACAACACCTTGATGTTCTGCACCGTCGGCAGCAAAAGGCCAATCAGGCTGATGGTGGTCCGATCGAAAAGGAAAGACTTCACAGTCAGGTTCGGGCCTTCCTTCGGCGGCTTGGGCTCTTCCATATGGAATCCCATGGAGCCCAGGCCGCCCAAACCCCCCCCCAGCAAGGCCGACATGTCTGGCGCCTTGACGAGCATGCTGGGCCTCCGCCTGTCTTGGTGCGAACTGGGCAGCGCGGACTTGCTGGGGCTGCCTTCTCGAGCTCTCTTCATTCGGAAAGCAGGGTGCACTGCAGCGTTTACCGTGGAGCACAGTTTCCGCAGGTCCACTCCCAGCATTCCAGTTGGCTCGAAGCCTGAAGGTAGCTCACCAGGGACATCTAAGTGGTCGTTGATGCCATACACCCAGATCGGAGGCCAGATCCTGGGCTCAGCCTCGTCCGCGATGTGCGCCCTCGTCATGGCTCCGAAGCTGCCCCCGCCCGTGGCCCCCGCGTGGCTGATCCAAGCGCTGCACATCGAGCCCAGAGTCAGATCGGCCATGTACGCTGCAGAAGCTGGTGTCTAGCCTATTTCAGAAGCATGTGCTGGCAAACTCATGCAACCTGCCCGCCTTGGCACCGCGGAGGCTCCTACAGAAACGGCAGCACTCAACATCAACAGGGCTCCTGGATGCCATGACGGGTCCTGGTGCCAGCACGCGCCAAGACTGCGCACTTTGGGTAAGCGAGGGCGGCAGCGAGGCCGGTGTGCTGCTCATGCTGTCGCCGGCGCTCCATCTGGCATGGGCTCTGATTTGTACTTCTCGGCGCTACTTGGGCGTCACATAGCGTCATACTGCATCCCTCCCTCAGTATCGGAATTCCCGCTGCGACCAGATTCATGGCCTCAGAGCAACGCTGCTGCTGGTCCCTTGGGTGCTGCGTGACAATCGGCGCTCAAGCGTCGGCGACATGGCCATCTGCTAAGCATTCCGGCATGAGCTCACGACGGTTTTCCGACGGGGCTACCTCGTGCTAGGGGGTAAGTCCTGGTGGGGGGTTAGCACCAATGGCTGCAGAGCCAAAGACCTCGCCTTCAGTAGAATAGATACTGAAGTTGCTGAGGCATGCTCTGCTTTGCAAGGATGTTCCCCGCTTTACATGGGGATCCTCAACAGCCGATAAGACAGCTTGCAACCAAAAGCAGCGATGGTCTCCCATTTTGGCCACAAAGGCCTCAAGAAGCTTGTTATAGTCTCTGGTGACTGTCCAAGGAATGAAGCGAGAGGTCTTTGCAGCCTTTTTAGTCGACTGGATCGGCGGAGCCTCTGCCCGCATCTTGCTCCTGTACTTTGCAAGCCGCTGTGCCGTGAACGTGTGAAACTGCACATCTGCTGGCGTCAGAAGTGCCCAGCTCAATCTGTTGCGCAGCTTGTAGCATTCAGAAGGAGCTGTAGGGGACATAAGGGACATAAGGGACACTTCTGCCCAGGCTTTTGTGAAGGACTTGATGCCTTCGGAATGTGCCTGGCCTGTCCTACTCGCGGGAACGCGAGTGCGTGGCTGTCCAAGCCTCCAGTAAACTCAAGGATAGGCAAAGAGAGATGCTCGCCGCACTTTAGAAGCCGCAGCTGGGGATGGCACGCGCCTAACATCTGTCGCACCTGGCTCCGCAAATCCCCAGCTCGCTGATAGCTGTAACATCATGCCAAGCCATCCAACACTTGAGGACGGTGCAGAACGCGATCTGGCTCAAGAGTCCTACTTCTTGGTCACCTCCAGGAACCTCAGATGTCGCACTGAACTGTAGCCTAAGGCCTCAAGGAGAGTGGGAGGCGTCATCTCTAAGGAGCCGGCTGGTCATAGATAATTTTGACGTAGCCCTGGCAAGCAAACGGAGACGACAGTGGGAGCAGTCTGAGGTAGAACGGGAAGAGCGTGCCCGGTTCTCATGTTCAAGTGTATCACGACAAATTAGCTTCTAGCCCTGACAAGGATTATTCGTTGGTACTTCTTCTCCTTCACTTCCCTGGCCTTCGCCAGCTCGGCGCCATTCGCCACCAGCTGAGGCAAAGTTTGATGTGGAGGTCGCTAGTTGGGTCTCAACGAAGGCAGGGGCAGAAACCTATGCTCCTGCATGGCGGAAGACCCGCTGCCGGGTTCAGGGGGTGAGACTGTAGGGCACTGTAGGGCCTTGTAATGCTTGGGTTTTTGAGATAGCTGGAGCTCCTTCCTGCCCTGGTTTACCAAGGCCTGGCTCCATGCTTCGTATTGCTTGCTTTGCTGAGCCTTTGGTATGGCTCTTCTAGGATGATTCTCAAAGGGCACTCTTGGAGGAGTCCTGGTGATGTCTTGTGCGACAGTGTGCATTGGAAATAACTTCGTGAGAGAATGGCCCCCGCACCCGTGCAACCACATGCTCAGATGCTGTACTACGTGCTGTTGTTGTGATACAGAATGTATGCACAGGCACTGCATATATCTTAGATATGGCTATATGGAAGAGATAGAGATGTGCGATTCACTCTGTATAAACACTGATCTGTGTGTGTGTGTGCGCGCACCTGGATATATGTATATATATATATACATATATATATATATATACACACACATACATACACGGTATACATAAGTAAGTTGAAGATAACATTGATAACCCAGCATAACATAAGTGAAAAAATGAATGAATGAATGAATGAATGAATGAATGAATGAATGAATGAATCTGCATATGAACATGAATGAGAAAGTGAATATGAATATGAATACATGTGTATATATATATATGTAGGATACATCCATATATATATATATAGAAGAGAGAGAGAGAGAGCATATATTCATATGTTTGTATATTCACATATCCGTATATTCATATCTTATATTCGTATGTTCATATCTTCATATAATTACAGATCCATTCATTCATACATGCATATATTCATACACTCATATATTCATGCGTTTACATAAGTGCATGTACATATACATCTACATATACATGCTATACATATATATATATATATACATATGTGGCAGTTAGGCAGGCAGGCAGCCAGCCAGGCAGGCAGGGCAGGTGCGGCACCGGGTAGATGTGACGACGGATGCATGTGAACATCATGTTGGCTTGGCTCTGGGCCAGGTGGCTCTTGGTCTCCAAAAACTCCTCGCCAACTCAGCATGCATAGCAGGAAATCATGACCCCAAGGGACCCCCAAAAGGCAGTCTGAGTCACACCCGAACCTGGGAACCCAACTTGAACATGTACCAAAGCTATCAACCTTGCCGAGTTTCTGGCCTCAAGGGGTGGTGGGGTCGGGGGTCACGACTACCCCGTGATTCCTGCACCGTGTGGATTCCCATGGTCTTCGGGTGCACGAGGTAGAGAACTACCTTTCAAGCTGTCCGCTGTCAGCATGGAAGGCCATGCGGAATTGGGACTTGGAATCCTGCTAGTAGCTGGGTCTCATAGTAGATGTCGACATAAAAAGAAATAACCTCAGCCACTCAGCTTGCGGGCCCTTGGCCTTCGTTGAATCAGGCTCTCCAGGTCTAAGTGCACGACATAGAAGGGTATGCTAACCAGCCACTCGAAGCAGTACAGCGCAAATGACCTGAGTGAGCGATGTGCAATTTGCACATGTTGCTGCGAGGTAGCCTGCGCCACCTTGTAGCAGTCCAAGTGCTACACTGGCTGAGCGCAGTTTAGCTACGAGCATATAGATCCAGGCTTCTGCTTTGGGCCCAGGCGCTGCACAGTAGAGGCACCAGTAAAAGAGCCTGGCTCTGAGGAGAAGTCCAGCAATGTCCAGCAGAGCACTTGCGCGAGAAGCTCACGGTGATCAGCGCCGGACCACACTTTTCTATCGGGAGACTCCTCCTGCAAGGAGTGAAGTGTCTGCACCTGAAAGTTGCGGGAAGCAGAGACCTTTGCTGTGAGCTTTTAGGGCCCCTGGGGTGGCTCTGCCCGGCTTAGCGGCTTAGCAGCTCGCTCCTATGTTGCCGTGTGCGAAACAGGAGCGCAGTCCTAGGGAAAGGAAGTAAGCACCATTCAAGCGCCTACAATACCCCGTTTTTGTTAACCCTGCCAATAAACATGTGCTCAAATCTTTGCAGCCTTTGTCAACGAACTGATCCGCATAGTGAACATAGTTGGTATGGTTCGCTGAGGCAGGAGCCAATGGGAACAGGATTGCAACGCAAATCCACCTCATCCGACAAGAGAGAAGCATGAGCTCAAAATACATGCCTCGGAAGATATGATGAAGCTAAGGCAAGGACAAGGGAAATATGACCAAGTAGTAGGGCCTCAAACCACGAAGCTCGGTGCGATTGAGCATCGCACTGGATCCCTACACACCAAATAGCATGCCTTCAACATCAACAGAGATAAGTGTTGACAATAAGCATAAATCCCGAGGCAAGAACAGCATCGGTTGGAAAAGGAGGCCCGCCCACTTCGGCCAAGGATCCAGTTTGAGGGCTGAAAAGCAACGTCATGCAGTGGCAAGTATTTTTGTTGCCTGACATTTGCAAGGGCTCGCTTCCTGTCTCTCCTCACATCCACTGAGAAGCTATCAGCTAGCACTGGATTCCTATGCTTCGGGCCGCATCATCTGAAGCTGCATGTCAGACACAATCGCAACCTTTCGAACGTAGGCGAGCGATGCTGGCAGCCGCGGCAGCTACCACATCTTGGCAAGACTCGCCGCCAACGGTGCGTCCGTACTCATGCTTCTCGTGCAGTCTCGTCGCAGCAAGGCATATCCGTATCCGCTATGAGGCATGCTGAGGCACAGTTGCGTGTTGATCTTCCGGCCTGCATACGGCGAAACGGAGCCGCGGCCTAAGCATCCCTCAACATCCTGCACTCCTCATCACTGTCAGAGTCCAGATCGACAACGACCGTGGTATGCGCACCTGCGGCCGCGGCTGCAGGAGGTCGACTTGGTGGCAGATCCTGGGCTGGAGGTCGGTAGGCGTCCCAGCAGCTGTCCAGATCTGCCAGCCATTGCAATCCCGCAGCATCTTTCGTGCTTATCGGTGACCGCCGCACAGCATGGACTTCAACATGCTGCTTGGAATCGGTGCTCTCACTGGGCTCCGTCTTCAACGTGGCTGTCGGTATCAAGCGAAACTCGCGTGTTCCATCTGCGAGGTCAGCAGCGACCACGCAATCCAAGGACATTGGGCCCTGTTCGGATCCATCGGCCGTCTCGGCAGAGGACTTGAGAGCAGCGCTTGCGACATCCTTTGAGATGCCGAGCTCCCACATCAACTCTTGCCGCGAGACCCGAGGACGGAGGCCTAGGCAACACAGCTTGTTAAGCTCATTCAGGGATGTTTCTCGGTGGCGTCAGATCTGTGAGGACTTACCATGACCCGGCCTTCGAGTGCACGCCGCGCTGCACTGGCGATGCTGGCGGCTTCGGTGGCTTCTCCGACTTCGGCCGCAGGCTCGCCGCTGTCGGCCGCAGGCTGGCCGCTGTCGGACATGGAGGCACAGCATGATTCCGCGTGAGGCAGGCCTACGGTGGGGCTCGCTCTTCCGACTGTAGTTCCAAGTCTCCTTGCGAGGCATTGTTAGATTCGCGAGAGTAACTACAAACCTGACCCTGCTAGAACATCACTCTTCGAGATCCATAAACTTAGTCTCTTATATAATAGGGTTGCCGTAAAATAGTTCATGTCTAAACTCAAAGCAGAACTTCCACGGACACGGAAAGACGTGTGGCTGGCGAAAGCATGCCCTCGTCAGTCGCAGCCCTCACACTTAGCACCGCCCCCGGGGTTTTGCTGCGACACCATCAAGCGATGGCAGGTGAAACAGTCTCCCACATCTATGTCGAACATGTCATGTGAGACTTCGAGATGACGGAGGCGACCCATCTTGCGAGTGCTGGGTTTAGGATAGCTCAGGGACGTCTAGGGTCGAGTTCAAAGCCGTGTGTCGAAGCGACGTCTGTTCGTCTCCTTCGCTGCACCGTCGACTGCTCTGTCGCGGCAGCTGACCATTAGCTCAGCCATGCACCTAAAGCTACAAAAGGTCACATCGTTCAAGACAGTCAAGATTTGAACACGGTTCTGCGTGCACTGGGATTTCTCTGGAATAGGACTTGTGCGACACGGCCTTTCACCTTCGGTGAAACGCAAACAAGCCAATGACAAGCACTCATCATGTTGCACTGGGATTTCCGAGTGGATATTCACGGCTCTGTCACCGTTCATGTTTCGCACGTCAGCACGACGCACTGTCTGTGCTGCTTCGCATGAATTCTCTGCATCTTTGCGACTGGTACTGAAGCGTTCGACGTTGTCGCACGCTGCATGCAAGGAATCTATCCATCACAATCTATAATAACCGCTATAAAGTTCGTGGCGTCGTGTAGGTAGCGGATGCAACAGGACATGAGAAGCACGAGAAAGAGCTGGGTACGTGTGTTGGCGAGGTGCCGCAGCACTCTTGCTCTCAATACCTCAGTGATCACTGAGTCGAGAGCTAACTCAAGACCGTATTCGCTTCTGCAGCAGAAGCATGATGTAACTTCCGAAGATGGCGCCCGACCACCAGACAGGACCAGACCCCTGGGACCCCGGCGCAATGCTGGCAATGACCTTCCTCTGCTTCTGCCACTCCTCACCTGTAGTTCGGTGAAGCTGCGACGGCATGCGGCTGTGCATGTCCCTTCGAGGGCATTGATGTGCTGCTATTGTTCGAAATGCTCGTGCGAGTGCTTGTGCCAGCTGGGTAGTTCGGTCCAGAGGACTACCTTTTCGAGAAACTCTGAGCATGGAGAAAGCTGGCTCGTTTCCAGGCCGGCTAACAACCGGCTGCTACGGCATCATTCATCAGTCCGTTGTTCCGGCTGCGGCTCGCTTTGCTACATACTTCGTCTTCGTTGTCCTTGCGGGAAGGTGGGGGGCTCTCGCACGGACCCCCACTGTGGCAGCCTGAAGCGGCTTCTGAGGCTGGCACCCATGAAACGCCCTTGGAGCCAGGACTCGGCATACTCGATCTGGAGCTTCGGGTCCACTTGACTGAGCGGGAGATGCGTTTAGAAGTTTAGAAATCGGCCTGCCAGGCAGGTGCTGCAGTGCCCTGCCTAGGGTCCTCCTGAAGCTTCTCGACGATATCGTCGACATCAACAACTGATCCCCTCGGTATTGGGAGCGCTGCTCGAAGCCACAGGGCGAACTTGAGGCTCATTAGTCTTCTCTGCGGGGAATGCAAGCTTTTTGCTTCCTGGGCCTCTCCCAATTACTGCAACATGCGATCCGATCCCCGAAGCACGACCACGCTCCCTAGATGTCCTAAGCCCGTAAGCATGAGTTGAAACGAAGATGGGCTGAGCCGTGCGCTTGTCAACATCAATGTGCCAAAGACCGCAACAGAGGCAGCCCAGTGCCAGAGGCCTTTGTATATGGAAACTTGGGGAAGAAACAACGAAACGCCGATGGCTTCAGCACTCTACCAATAGCTCTGTGAACTAGTGCCCGCTCCCCCATTCTCAGGACGGCGGCACGATGGCAATGCCGAGGAAGAGGATGCCGAGGCTGGGCACGGGAAGCAGAAAAGGATGAAGCGATGCGAGTGTTCAGTCCAACACTCCTTGAGTCCCTTGCGCTTCGCCGGTGCTCATAATGCCTCCGGTATACGGACCTGATATGCAGGGATTGAAGTGAACCTCCTCCGAGAGTGACAGTTTCGTCTCGAGGCCCGACCAGTGCCCCCGAATCCAGTTAGCAGAACCCTTGCCCATTT